CGGTCACGTCGTCCAGGCCCCGGCCACGGGCGCCGCACCTCCCCGCCCCACCGCCCCTTGACGCAGAGGCCGCTGCGGCGGCCTCGCAGCATCTATCCTCCCAGCGCTCCAGGCCGGGGGCGGGATGGACTTGGGGAAGCCGGCTCCCAAGCAAACTAAACAAATTCTCCCTGCCATCCTGTCCTCCCACAACCTACGCAACCGAAAGGATGGGCACCAGTTGCCCACTGTCCCCTCCCCCTTTGTCTCAGCCGGGATAACAATAGAAATGATCCTACCTCACACGCTCGGACTATTCTCCGAGTTGGTGACAGGACCAGAAGCGGTGGGTGACTCAAAGAACCCTTTTCCCCAGTTTTCTCTTCAAGCCGGCCATTTACTTCTCTCGCAAAAGAAAAACATTCTAGGCATTTGCGTCTCCTTCAAACGGTTACCTGATAGCGCTCAGCGATTCTGGCCAGATTATGAAAGGCTGTTTAAAGGAGCTAGTCCTCACCCTATGTTGGTCCCTTAGCATCCGACTCGTCTCCAAGGGGTCTTATTACAAGATGAAGGCTGACTTACCTCTCACAGCAAGGAAGACATACTCATTAAGCCACGTGGAGAATTCCTAAAATATACATCACTGAACACAAAGCTTAGCCTACTTTTGAAAATGGCCGAATCTTCCCCTTAATAGGGCATATGTTCTAGAGATTAAATTTATGTTTTTAAAACTTTAAAAATTTGAAAGAAATGTAAAATGAACGTAAACTATTGTAGCGGAAAGGTTTAGTGATTGGTGAAGGACATTTTCTACTTCCAGATGATTAATATTACCATTAAAAAATACCTTTGTGCGCTTTTAGGCCATCCAACAATCCCTCAGATTTTGACAGTTTGTATCCAATTAAGATTAAATTAAATAATAAGGCCATTGGAGACAGGTTTTTCACGCAGTGAAAAATCTCCTGGAAAGAAATCACAAGACCTAAATTTCCGGTCAGAACATTGCTACTAATCCTCAGCTTTTAATGCAGCCAAGAGAGCCTTTTCTCAGTCTCTTCCAAATCCACCTTTAAAATACATTTTTTTAAGATAAAAGAAAAAAAAAAAGATTTGATCTTCTGGTTGCCCTTCCCCTGACATGGGTAAAGAAATACTCTGATGCTCCACAGGAAAAACCGGAAACAGTTACAACCAAAATCTTACAGAATATCTTGCATAATTTGCTTTTACTTAACATTTTGGCGATAGGCAAGTATTTCTGTTCATACATATCTTTATATATGTGTGGGTATGTGTATGTGTATGTGTATATATATATATATATATATGTAAATTGAGATACAGTGCAAATAATACCAATAACAACAAGAAGAATTTAAGAAAACAAGTAGAACTACGTTTTCCATAATCAGGATTAGGCTTGTCTGTGGGAAACAAAGTTTTCTGTATACTTGCAGGAATGGTTTACAGCAGTGTTGAGAAGGCTTACTTGACCCTTATGCTTTTTCACTGATGTTTGACACCTATCTCAACTACACATACAAAGCTACAAGTCACAAAATATTTGTGGAGTAATATGCTTAAAAATAATGGATACTAATTTATGTCTTGATGCCAATGAGGAGAAATAAGAGAAAGTAGCTATTGAATTTCCCACTAAGCACCCGGGGCTTTAAAATAGCTTATTTAATCATCTCAATTAATTAATGAGGTGATTTTTCCTAATTTAGAGATTAGACAGAGGTGATACCCAGAAAAAAGAAGTTGCAAAAAGTCACACAGCTAGTTCAGTGGCAGAATGGAGATTTAAACCCGGATCTGGCTTTTTTTTTAAATGCATTCTTGTAAACCCTTAGTGAATGTATAGATTTTAACAGGAGGAAAGTGTAGGATTTCCGCAAAGGCTAAGCACTTTAGAAAATAAGAAGTGGAGTAGGGGTGCAAAGATCCCACGAGGGGATCCTGGGAACTCCAGGCATGGAGGTGAAGAGTACCATTTTAAAATTGTAACAACGAAATCCTTCAAAGATTTCATTGCTCAATTGCTAATATTGTTTAGCTAGCGATTATTGGGTGCTTTCTCTGTCACACAGTGGGATACGGCCACATCGTGTTGGTGTGAGAAGAAGAGAGAGCACACGGAAGGGAAAGCAGAACTTGGAAGAGGGTTTCAACCTACAGGTAAAGGAAGACTAGTCTTTTTGGCCACACTGTATTTTTGTATATTAACAAGCATCGATTCAGTGTTAAGTGCGTGCCTTTGCAGTGTGTGCAATAATTAATGTGTCTTATTTCTCTTAACTCTGACCCCAGCCCTGCGATGTAAGTACAGATGTTACCCACACACTGCAGAGGAAAAAAACTGAAACTTTGGTTGTCTGAACTCACACAGAAGGCATCTATTAAATACAGGAAATAAATACCTGCCTGTATCTAAATCACCGTCTGAATTTGACACCTACTCTTAAGCAATTAATATTATACTTCGCATTTGAAAAGAAAGTAATAAACGGTCTGAAGGAGAGAATAAGTGAATATTCTCTTTAAGTGTGTGTGGGGTGTGTGTAGGGGGAGGAATCTTGACTTGTCAAGACTTTCTACCCTGGTATTTTTTAAATCAAATCTCCCAAAATGACAATATTATGCAAAAACTCCCAGAATTCAGAAAAACAATGAAAAGATTTAAAAAAAAATTTAAAGCACAATGCTAAAGGAAAATATTGGATCCATTCACATCATGAGATTACATTAATTCATTTTCCTGTTGTTGGAGAGGAAATTCTCCTCTTCCCTTCCAAGTTCTTCTGGCTGGTCTAATAATTAAATGACATGGGATTGATTAACAAGAGAAAAATCAAACAAAGTTTAATAACATGATCGTGATCACTACAGTTTAAGTTACTTTTTAATTATAAATTTCTTTTATATAACAATAGATTATATTTTTAAAATACTTTACGTATGTGGACAAAGAATGTTGCCTACCATTTCAGTAAACAAAGAATAGTGCCTGCTATTCCGATAAACAACGTATGTTGTCCACCGTTAAGCCATTAGCCACCACAGCCACCCTCCAATGGTGCGCCCTGAGGAGAATTCAGAAGGGAGAAAAACAGGAAACATTCTGCGCTGGATATTGGCCCTAGATGGCTAAGATGCCTATCTAAGGGATAATTTAAGTGACCTCCCCAGGCTCTTGCATCTTCCCATACACAGAAAAGCATTAAAATCATTAATTTGAGATTTCTGTCTTTTGTGATTAGCAGTAATCTTTTAATGTTTGACCACCTGTTTTTTCCCAACAAAAACTCCTGTGTATCCTGGCTCCTTTCTCACCTCTTTGAAATAGTTTTTCAAAGCTATCTGAAAGGTGGTCTCCCAGGCTATAGTGCCCAGTAAGGTCCTGAGTAAAGTGTAACTCACAGTTTTTAGGTTGTGCGTTTTTCTTCAGTTGACATACATGTCAGGTATATGTGTGCTCAAGCATTAATCTAGGCCTATGGTTACTTAGAGATGTGAAAACAAAATGTTTTACAGTATTTGTTTTGCCTGCCATGCCTTTTCTGCATTTTCTTTGATTCATTCAAAATCTCATTACTGATTTATTCAAATTCTATAGACTCCATAATCTAATGTAAATTCTTAATTATTATTTTAATACAACAGTGATACCTGCTCATTGAATACATGTCAAAGTATGAACTTGTACATGGTAAGAATTTAAAAAAACTAAAGGCCCTGTGTTTATGTTTGTCTGCCTTCCTGTCAATTCTACAAGCTAGTAATAAATATTGTTAACTGCTTGATATGTAGTCTTACAGAATTTCCTTTCCTTCTCTTTCTCATTCTTTCTCTCTCTCTGTCTTTCTTCCTCTGTGTGTGTGTATATATATATATA